TATAAATTTTAGAACTTTGGCTAAGTGGGAAGACACCCTTAGATCATGGGTAGTGATCTTTTGACATACCGTGGAAATATATTGCTCTGGGTGTCTCTCAAGATAATCACCCTAAGAAAAAGTTTTTTTATTCTAAAATTCGGCAAACTGAAAAAAGAAATCTTGTTTTTCTTACTTAAATTAGAAGCTGCGCATATTGTCACCGGCCTTCCTATTTATATATGCCCCTCGTAAGTCTCTATATTATGAAACAGGATGGGAAACACTAGCCTATAGACGGGAAAAGAGAAAATTATGTTTATGTATGAAATATGGTATCGCGCCAGAGTATTTCTTAAAAATCTATTACCTCCTGATGTCTCACAAACTACCCATTATGATTTACAATTGCAATGATATTACTATTCCCCATTATTATTGCCTTATTGAAAAATTCATTCTTTCAATCCACAGGCACCTGACGTTACTTATTTTTCTTTTAAGAAAAAAAATATGCTCCCTACCTTTATTATTAGGTAGGGGGTATATATTTTTTTTATTAAACAGGCGCGTAGCCAGGCGTATGTTTGTACGAAAAAACGTCCACATCATTTTAGGGAAAAAGGAGAGAGGGAGAGGCAGGCGAAATTTTTATGCTCTTAAATCATTTTGCAATAAATAAATACTTTTAAAAATAAAAGAAATGTTTAGAAACAATTTAATAAACGATAAATAATAACTGAAAATTAACAGAATCAGTTTTAGGGGAAAATATGAAAGTAGACATCTCTATTTCTGATATCATTAGATTTTCCTTGAATCTGGTTTACGTATTGCTGATTTTTTTTTCTAAGTGCATTACATTTTTATATACATGTACCACTCCAACCAATTACTTTATCATAAGTATTTTGTCTCTTCAAAAGTCTAAAATTGTTTAAGTGGGCTCTTCATATTACATAAACAACGATACAATGTATTGGGCATATCCTTTCTCATTTTAGAGTGTTTTTTCCATATTTTGTACAAAAAAAGACCTCGAAAACATGGGTGCATAACAGTGTAAGAAAAATGCGATCAGGAGGGTCGAATATGCTCATCGAAATTCAAAAGCTGTCGGGGCATCGCCCTCTGGACCCTGACCAGGGCTTAACAACGAACCCATAGGGGACATTAGGCCCCCAAACCCCCTGCCTTGCGTCCACATCAAAAGTGGCCATGTATGCCACTGAAAATAAATAACGCGTCAGGTGCCTGTGGTTGCGATTAACAAAGTACCAGTGGGGGTACAAAGTAAACAAACCGGAGTGGCATACCTTTCTCTCATATATATAATGTACGAGTATAGTGGGGTATTTTTTGTATAGCGATTATTTTGGGGTTTTGACGATTTTTTCATATTGTACACATGATGAATAAGTGTAATAAATATATTTTGTGAAAAAAATTTCAAATAAACCCAGTGGTTGAATATCGGGGGGGGGGGGGGGGGGGGAGGGGTCCTCTCCACAAGTACCTGTGTTTTTTGGGAGACCAGGTCTTCCAGCAAAATATTGGAATTCCCTTGGGTACCAATTGCGCCCCGTTATCAGCAGACCTATTTTCATATTCATACGAAGCAGAATTTGTTCAAAAGCTTATACATGAATAGAAGAAAACATTTGCTGTTCCCTTCAACTTCACATTTACATATAGAATAGAATATATTTATTATTCCAGATCAGGGCCCTTGTGGGCATATTACATACATGATTATTAAACAAAGCATATAATAAATAGTTATTAACAAAATGTGAAAGTGTTCAGCATATTCTTAGGGGAGATCAACATTACCGCTACATCACCCAAAATTTCAACTCATTACCGCTACATGTTTTCAAAATTTCGACCGATCAATACCGCTACATATCGAATCGGCCAGGTATGATACGGAATATGACTTCCAATCATAGATCATTTTACAAGACAGCAGTATGTCAAGCAAATGGCATACAAAACTTTAGCGATTGCATAAAGGTATTGTGAAGACTGTGAGTTATCTATGGACAGTGCTTGATTTTAAAATTTTTAAAGTGTTTTGTGAAATAAAAGATATTGAATTAAAAAAAAAACACCCTGCTCAAAGTCCTACTTTTACCTCCTAGAGGTGAGCAGGGAAATATGCCTTACACTTGTTTATGTTGTATTTTAAATCAATCTGTCCTCTCAAAAGTAGCTGGCTAACAAAAAAGACAATATACAGGTAATGTATGCATTTATATTTAGCGGTAATGTAACGTTTTTTGTAGCGGTAATGACTATGTAGCGGTAATGAAAATTTCGAAAATGTAGCGGTAATGATACGCGCCCATTCTTAGTACATGTACATACTTAATCAATTTACACATGGTTCATAATTTGAGATAAATATATGATTGAACTACGTATTGTCAATTTTGGCACAAATGCAGTAGAAGTTAGGCATATATTAGGTTTTGTATTTTTTATCACAAATGTATACACGACACTGCTACATGAATTGCCCGACCAATAATGACTCGGCTGTAGGAAGCAAAGGGAAACGGTATAACAAAACGATTAATTCGAACCTTACGTTCCTTACTAAGATCTATAGAAAATCTTATAAGAGTAATTAGAAAAGCCATATATCAACTTCCTAATTCGTAAATACATAGCTAGCTGCAGATCTGTAGCGTTATGGTTTTATATATTTGACTTTGACCATAACGCTACAGATTCCGTAATGCAAAAAAGGTGCAATTTACGGCGCAATATTTTTTGCGCACTTTTGGGGAGAATTTCTCCACTTTCCAGCCTCGGTCAATCAACTACCTTTCACTCACTAATTCTAGACACATTCTGTAGCCAATATGTATATTTTATCCACCTCCCAACCATTTGAAGTGAATTTTCAGCAATCTAACAAATAATTTTGATCAAGCGAGTTTATCACTTGTATAGACGACTGGTTGGGAGATGGATAAAATATACAGATTAGTTAAAAAATGTGCCTAGAATTAGGGAGTGAAAGGTAGTTAATTGATCGATGCTGAAAATGGAGAAATTCTCCCCAAAAGTGCTCAAAAAATATTGCGCCGTAAATTGCACCTTTTTGCATTACGGGATCAGTAGCGTTATGGTCAAAGACAAATACCCCCGGGTATACAAAATCATAATGCTACAGATCTGCAGATAATACATAGCCAGAACAAATGTTGAAACAGGTTTGACACCATATTATTGATGTTTTGGAGTCTGAGAGATGTAATATTTTTCATTGAAAATTTATTACTTTTTAATAGGTCTAAGTTCTCCATTATTATCATCTAGATGTCAAAGAAAACAATACAAAGAAAATTATTATATACTCAGTACTTTCTCTTTCAGATCCAGACTGTTAATTTTCTTCTGTATATAGGGTATCCTATAATGTATACATATGATTCAAATCAACGTATTCCTAGTAAAAATGAATCAATTTTTGGCTGAAGAAGCTTCAGTATTTGTGTCCAGTGAATAGATTGACATCAAATTTTCTGTATTCCCATTCTGCACTTTTTTTGTGGGTGCTTTATGCTATGGTATTTTGAAAAGGCTAATTTAATTCATTGTTGTCAATCATCAAATGTTGTTGCCATGCTAGATTTAGTATAATTTACATGGTGTTTAATTCCTGGAGACTTTTAAGGCACACTTGTGTCAAGACATAATTTGGCCTCCAGACAGGTGCAATCAAAATAGGAGGAAGAAGCAATGTGCAACTTTAATCAATTAATTAGTCTATGGTGGATCCAGAAATTTCATAATGGGTGGGGGTGGGTGGGTGTACAATGCAGGGGGTCTGCATTGAAGCCCCCCACATGTCCAGGGCAAAACCCTGGTGTGGGTCCAAGGGCAAAAGCCCCCAGAATCTAAGGAATTCTAACAAACAAGAGGTGTTTTTCCCTTTGATTTTAGGATAATACAAACAAAATTTAAATAAAAAAAAATTCAAACAGGGGGTGAACATCCAGCTCTGGAGCCCTTGGTTTTAGCCAGATGAAATAATGGACAAGTCATGCTTTTATAAGACTTTATAGCTTCCAATCTCTACAATACAAGTTTCTGAAAAAAATTACCCAACGTTTCATTTCAGAGACATCTCCTTTCTAATCTTAATATTTCACTGACTAGGCATGCGTAATAAATACAAAAATAAATATCGTAGATAGAAAGAGAATTAACTGTGACTATTAGTGCCAAAAAAAATGTATTCATTGTGTATACAATTACAGAATAAAACTACATACAAATCTAAGTGCAAAGAAAATGTTCAGAAAATAAATGTCCCCGTTTCTTTTTGTAGTTGCTTGATCACATTGAATTATGGTGGTTAGTTGTTTGACTTATGTTGAAGAAAAATTTTTTTTCCTCTTTAACGAGTCTTTATACAATTAAAAAGATGAAAAAAATTTATCTCCATGTGATGAAAAAGCAGATTTCACTGACAGTTTTAAGGAAGCTGTCCATAGTGATCTAACCATGGTCTGGAAGGTCAAAAGCAAACACTAGTATTGAAATGAATTTAACACACATGGATTTATGTCTAAAAATGACTGCATTCAAAAATAATCTATTGGTGTTCAAAACAGGTAGCATAGTTTCTGAATATAAACTGTGTAATATAAAAAGATACTGGTTGATTCTAACATCAGCATATTTATTTACAATACACTAAAGTAGTGTAAAAAAATGAATACACATGTATTTGACACATTTACCCATGTACCAGGGGTACCAAGTATATATAAAAAACAAACCAAAAAGGCTCTACATTCTAAACATTCAAGCTGGTTGCAGTTTAAATATGACTTGTTCAACTCCTCAACTTGATATCGTCGCTAGTTGATCATAAAATATAATTTGCATCTAAACATTTGTTCACTGTACAAAAACAAAAAATTACTCCACTCTCATTCGTATAGATTATAAGGTAAAATTTCCCTATCATTGTTTCCCTCTGAAGTTTGATTTTTAACATAAAGCTATCAAGAAAGTGCTTTCAATGCCTCTCTTAGAACTGCTATGGTGTAATCCACATCAGCCTTAGAAATACACATGGGGGGTTTGATGCGAAGAACCTGTAAAAATATAAATATCCTAAATAAATGTGTAAAAATTTATGGTATCAGATTTGCAGTTATGTTGCATGTATGAAACAGTCAACTTTTATCCATTCTATCAAATTATTTATGCCAATACATGTTTATTCTTCTACTGTAACACGTACCGTATAAGTAGAATTTTTAGTGAGGATTTAATTTTGGCATTATTAGCGAAGGTTCCAAGATCGCTAAAATTAAATATCACTAAAAATAAACTGTCCTTAATTTGCAGTAGCTTAATTAGTGAGCATTTTCAAATCGCTAAAATTACATCTCGCTAAAAATAAAATAGCCTATTTTAAAGACAAATTGCTAAATTTGTGTCTCGCTAAGATTTCCACTTATACGGTATTCAACATTTAATGTTACTCTAATTTATATCTCCAAGTCTTCTCCATCAATATATGTATTTATTATTAATTCTCCCTAAAATGTACACAAAAAAATACATACATTTCCAAATATCCCTCCTTTTCCCACTAAGATGCCGTGTTCTCTCAGGAATTCCCAGATCTTGTTTACGTCCTCAACAGGTAACGGTGTGATGGTTTCCTAAAAGGCAGAAATATACCAATGTAAAAAAAAAATCATAGATTTTATTATAAGCACGTTGTTTAAATTCTTTTATGCATTTACTGTAAACAATTTTAATTTATTTATAGTTGATTTACAGTTAAGATTAAAACAAAAAGATTTTTTTCTTTTACTTTTATCAGTTATGAGTATATATCCAGGACTGAACTTTTCTTGAAGGATTATCAATCACATATTACATGTATATATATTTTGTCAAACATTAAACAGTTGTTCAAGTAAGGGTCATCACTTATTTACCTCCCTTTGTTCATCAAGTTCATGTTTTAATATTTACAGATCTCTTAAATTTGTGTTTATTCTGTGCTCAAAAGAGACAAGAGAATTACAAATGTTTTCAAAATAACTAAACTGAATTCCTGGAACTCAAATTTATTGGTGTAAGTTAACACATCAGAACATCGATGATGATGGACCCTTACCCTCTCTTTGACTAGTTCTATTCCAATCATTAAGCCTTTCCCTCTGACATCCCCTATAATTTCAAATTCATCCATCATTTTTCTGAGTTCCAAAATGAAGTAGGTCCCAGTAGAGGCTGCGTTCTCCTGGATTTTTTCTTCCTTGATCACCTGTTTGACCAAAATGCTTAATAGATTTTACATGTGCTAAGGTTGTATGAAAATGCATAACAAAAGTTACTCAAAACCAACTATTATTTGCGTCATCTTTCATTCATGATGCCTCAGTCATAAAATCAATCCGTAGTGCTTAATTTCTGTGACTGAGGAAACATTCTCTACAAATACAAAGCAAAATAATTGGTTCGCGTTCAATAAATATTCTAGAGTTAAGAAGGATGTCAAACTTGCGAAAATTTCTTGCATGCAAATAAAAGTGGTTTACAGTATGCCAATAAATATCTGAATCCACGTGTTTGCAAGGGAGGCTCCTGCTTTGCAGCGCCATTGTTTTATCTTACTTACATCCTATGGTATGTGGTTAATTAAGGTATATAGTAAATTATAATCTATGGTAAATTATGGTATGTGGTAAAATTATCATATATGGTAAATTAAGGTATGTGGTAAATTACATGTATGTCACACATCAATCTAACACAGACGTACATCTAACACAGCGGATCCTACAGCACAGGCCAGGGGGTTCCCTCCGTAGGTATTAAAATGCAGGGCCTTTGCCATGGATAAGGCAATTTCAGGGGAGGTGACCACTGCTGCCAAGGGAAAACCATTCCCAATACCCTTTGCCATTGTAACTAGAAACAGAATATACATTTTGTTTTGGCCATTCTGCAGGTATTCTCTCACGATACACAGTGTCTTTTTCATGGATACATGTATCTTGAAGTCAAAGATCTGACTGTTAGAGATTGAAAGAATAAAAACATACCAATATCTGGAACAACACCATGGTTTTCAAATCCCCAGAAATGTTCGCCCAACCTTCCAAATCCTGTTTGGACCTGGAATGTATGTACATATTGTACTTCCCAAAACAGCAACAGTACAGCAAAACTCGTTTAGTACGAACACGGATATTGCGAATTTACGGATATAGGGAAGTCATCTTGGATCCCCAGCTATATGAATTTAATGAATTTCTTGTACGGTTATAACAAATTATGGATATAGCAAAGTAATTTCATAGGTCCCTGTGACTTCGTTATAACTGAGTTTTGCTGTACATACAATCAGCAAGAAATAATCAGATTAAAGTTGCAAATGATATAATTTACCAATGTCATTGCTATTATCATTTAATCAAGAAACTGATACTTAATGTTGCAAAATTGACTTTAAGAAATTGAAATACAAGACCATGAATTAAAGACTGGCAATGAAGTTTTACCAAGCTTTAGATATCTTACCTCATCTGATATACAAATTCCTCCTTTTGCTCTGACCATTTCAAATGCCCTTTTCAAGAAATTCTTTGGAAATTGTGTTGTTCCACCTACTCCCTATAAAAGAAATTTTTTCCCATGAAATTTATACATTCAGATATACATGTAATTTATAACATAGGTGTTGAAATGTAAATACAGTACCTACAAAGGAAATTAGCTTTTATTATATGCATGGGAGCAATATTAGGACAATAAATTATTAAAACATGTACATGTACCGTATAAAATATGTACAATTTAAGGTATTAATTTATTACACAGCGCAATATAATACACACAAAAATTTCTCACTGTAATCTTAGAAGAAAGTCACTCAGCACCCCCACCCCCTTGTGAATTACCTTGTTTTACAATTAATGTGTTTCTTTTCTTCTAGCAAGCCGGAGGATTCACAATCTTACCTGAATGGATTCAGCAAAGAATGCCCCACATTTGTCTTTGGGCATGGAGAACCTCAACACATCCTCCAGCTGTTCAACGTACTTCACCCCGGCCTTACACTCCCCCGCCCCACAGTCACAGGACCTCAGGGTCTAAAACAGAAAATCAAGGCAATCATTATACAGGATTGTGATAGCTTAGCTCTCAAATCATATACTAAATCTATACTTATGTTCTAGTTGATTAAAGATGTAGTACATAATATATTAGAAAGAATCAAAACAATATCAAACAAAAAGGACATATACATGTATATAACATTTTCAAAAATTTTAATTTTTGAAAACAAAAAAACCCTCAAAAAACCAACAAAAAACTTTTTAATGTTTCCACCAAAATTCTTATGCATAGTTATTTTTGTACCTAAGCCATATGATTCTGCAATGTACTTGTGGTGAAGTGATTAAGACAAAATTGACTTTCTGTGTAAATGAATATAAAACACAAAGTTGTTTTAATGACTAAGAGATGTTCTGGCACCTACTTTATACTAAGGCCAGCTGTGATAATTTTAACTTTTATACAATCATAGAGAAAATATCATATAGGGCTAGCACTATAGCCAGGATGTGATTTCGTACCTTTCAAAAATTCATAATCAATGTTTTTTTATTCATTCATTCATTCCATATTACTGAATATGAACTGACCTGGGAGGGAGAGTCCCTACAGTTTGCTCCTCCCCAGGGGCCTCGGTAGGGGTCAGGATTCATGGACTGCAAAGACAAAATTTCATTACTCATTTATACTGTATAATCACATATAATATAAATATTGTTACTGATGTAAGATATAATGCTCTAAAAATCATTTGCCATTTACCAAAAAAAAGTTATTTTTCTTATGATCATTTGGCTCTCTGTAGTTTTTAAAAAAAAAAAATCTTTTATTTAATTTTTAGGTTTAAGATTTTAAAACCTGATGAATGCCGAATCCAGTGGGTACATTGAACCTCCATGTAGACATAGCGGTTAGACCCATGAGGTATGGACTAGCACCATGGTATGCATTCCTAAAGAGAAATGAAATAAATACATGAATAAATTTGTGGAAAACATCATGCTAACTACTACTCCTACAAGTAAGAAAACATATACGCGGCGCCAAGTCAAAAGTATCTCGCCGTGAACCTCTAGCATGCTGGAGTAGCTAACTACAAGAAACAATAACCTCTAAAGAAGATATCAAGACAATTTTTAATGTATTGACAGCATTTGAAGATTAAAACTCTGTAGTATTCTTTTTCATCTTTATAGAATTTCAGTTTGTTTTATTTTAATTTTTTTTTTTGCTGATAAATGAAATTGAAATTAAAACAAATTCCAAATTCCCACACCCTTATAAACTTAGAATCTTGATTAAAATATTAAGGCCATCACTTGCCTGAGTGAGATAATGTCAAACACACCAGTGTGCATCCTGGCCATCAGTACTGCTAGATCATTGGCTTCAGACCCACTGTTTGTGAAATATACAACCTGTAAACAACAAAACAATTAATGGAGATCAATTCTACAGCAAGTCTGCAGTTACCCACTGGTGACAGTTTGGGGTTCTATACGCTATGGTTATATCTAACACAAGAGAAACTGAATTTATGGTTCCAGAACATCAAATATCATGCATTCCAACCTGGTCTTTGTATAAATTTCAAAGGTAATAATTCCTTTTCTTTCTTGAAACAGAAATCTCTCTCTCTCTTTCTAGAGATTTCTTATCTATGAAAACCATTGCCATTTATCAGTCAGTAAACACCACTACGTACGCAAGTGAGTTAAGGCTAAATATGGGCTTTTCTATGCAAATGAGCTAATAATAATGCATAAAATGTGTATTTTATGTACAGAGAATGTTCAAATTGATTTTCTTATACATACTTATTACCGACAGTATATTATTGCAAGTGTACATCATGACATAATATTTATATTCGCTGTGTTTTTCTACTAAGCCAACTGTGAAATTGATTTGAAAGTCATTTTTGTGTATACTCACGCGTAGAAATATACACGGAGAAACGTGCGTTAACGTGACGTCACAATGAGGCTGCAGCAACGTTAGTAAAAATGCAGCGATATAGGGCAGCGAGAAATTCAAATATTGAGTATATTTTAGTTGCTTCCGAACACGTAAAATGTAAATATAAGGAATGTTTTTCAGTTTAGTGTGAATTATTGGTGTGTGAATCACACAGACTTGCTCGGCATATTTTTCATGAAGCGCGCTATGAAATATGCCTACGTGACAAGTCTGTGTGATTCACACACCAATAACTCACACAAAACTTAAAAACATTCCTTAAATATTATGACGTCATAGTTCTTTCCCATTGAAGGTAATAAAACACATCAACAACACAACGTCGGCGCAAGGGCATATCCTATTTAATTTAAAATGAATACATTAATGTATAATACCAAGGAGAATATTCTTAAAAGTAATAAAATTGCTGCACAAATCCTATGCTATTCTTCAAACGATAAAAATTTTACTAAACTTGCACTGGACTGTGCATTTTTACCCTATTTCAACTTAGTACTGTACGAATGGTAACTTAACAATTGCAGTGTCAACATTTGTGCTGCAATATCTTAAACCCTTGGAATATTCTGCTTCTCTTTATACCTTGTTTCTGTAAAACAAAGTAATGTATGCCCTTGCGCCGAAGCAATTTTGTTGATGTTTCTTATAAACTTGTGTAGTAAAGGTCGATGACGTCATAATGTGTACTGGCTATTGCATATCGTGGGTACCAGGAATGTATTAGAAAACAAGTCTTAGCATTTTCTTTGCGGTATGTATAGCAATTACGGGTTTTAACTTATGAATACAATGACATACATATTTATAACACAATATTCAACATATTTAATTTTCCTTTTCAGTTTTTTCATACAGTGTTTTAATAGAAAATTGAAAACTCATTTTTATAAATTAGCATTTGATTAACTTTTTAGATTGATCTATCTATTGAATTTTTATTTGTTTTTCTTAAACATTATATTTTTAAGTCCTTGTGACTGTATTTTTTATTCTTATTCTGTATCAAAACAAGACATTTTCAATATAAGTCAAATTTTTATTTTTAAGTAATATATGCAATGTTTTATGTACATTCTATGTAAAGCGCCTTAGGGTGATATTTTTTATTATATAGGGCGCTATAGAAATTTATTATATTATTATTATTATAAAAATATAAACAATATAATTTCTTTTTTGCTTGTTAGTTCCAGAATTTGTCTTCGCAGCTGTTGCAGAAAAATACATAACCCGTTTTAGCTGGTGCAGGTTATGTACTATTACTGGAACAGCTGCAACATTAAACCAATGAAAGCATTTTATTGTTGAAATACATCATAAAATAATCGACTGAAATTACTTACCTTTAAATTCCCAGGTAATTTAGAGGCCAGCTTTTCAGCATATTCATGGATAGTTGGATGAAGATAAATGTTAGTTGTATGCCACAGGTTATCCATTTGTTTCTTAGCTCTCTCTGTAACCTTCCTGAAATGAAACTAAGAATTATACATATGCAATGTATGATACATATTGGTTTTAAAGTCTGCAAGTCTACAACTCCATTTATTTAAAACATTTTAAACTTCTCTGTTTGGAATAGCAGATACATGTATAATGAATTTTTTGCAACTTTTGTAATTAAATGTAGCATTTTAAAATTTTTACTTCACTCTCTTAGCTATATGATTGATGATGAAATTTTATTATTGAAACGTAACATTTTTCAATTTTACTCCGCTGTATTAGCCATATCACTGATGGAGAAGACATGACTTTATTGTACTAGTAGTTTCATGGCATTCTGTATCTTACTGCAATATGTTACTTACGGGTGGCAGTGCCCCACGCTAACAGTGACAATGCCCCCAAACAAATCCAAGTATCTCTTCCCCTCCGTGTCCCAGAGCCACTGCATGTGACCCTGAACAATCATGATTGGATTCTTGTAATAGGTCAAAAGGGCAGGGGTCAGATGGGACTTTCTGACTTTCATTGCATCATCATAAGATATGCCCTGTAAATGATAAAGGAAGCTACAGAACAACAGGAAACAGCAGCATGACACATTCAGCACTAGGATGGGAGGTAATACACAATTGTCATTAAACAGCAGTGCAGATTTTTCTATCCTTATTCTTAAATGACATGCAGGAACTAAAAGTATAGAGTACCTGTCTTAAACATGTTCAACATATGAACTTTTAAATGAATTTTACATGCAGTAGTGGGAAACTGACACAACCCCCCCTCCCTTTTTTTTTTTGTTTTTCTGTCCTTTTTTAAAAGCAGATCACTTGCCTTTTTTCTGCTGCATGCTTGGAAACTAAAAAGACTCATATAATTATTTAAGTAAGCATATAAGACCCCATTTCGCCATACCTGTAGTCAAGACCCTTGTAAACTTGTAATAGAGCAAATTTTTCTTACAAGCCCCCCAAAAAATTTAAATTGATAGCAAAATTGAAAGAAATATGGAGAAATTCATGCAAAATGTCAGGTATATTATATTATATACATGTATACCTAAATGGAAATTGATTTACTGTCTTGATTTCTCAGCTCAGACCAAAAGGTAAGTAATTCTACCTGGTATTTCTGGGGAGTGAATCCCGCAGGAGGCATATCTGGGATAGAACTGTAGAAACATCCACATTGTTTTCCTGAAAGTAAAACAATTTTTCAATTTAAAATCAAAGTACTGAGAGTACTGATACAAATCATCACGTTTCAAGTTTATCCAAGTGTTGACATATATGTAAATACACATCGTTTTATGAATAAAATTTTCAAATTAATATTGAATAGCATTCAAGAAAATGCAACACAATAAGAAGAATGCCTTTTTGTAACAAAGTAGGAATCCAGTCAAATCTATGCTAGAATGTTCACCCGAACTTCTCACTAAAATAAAAAGAGCACAAAAAAAATAATTTAGAAATATCTCATTATTGTGTCCAATACATGTACAGTGTGCCATATGGAAATCACAAGTCAAATTTATGGGATAAAGCTGTAAAATTAGCTTTTAATCCTAATAATTTTATGCCCCTCCATATTCCCAAGTCAAGGGTTTTGATTTGCTCCGCCCCCGTGGAGCAGAGCAGATCAAAAGCCCTTGACTTTGTATGCTATAAGGCAGTGATGGCATTCCATAAAAGCCCTTGACTTGGGAAGATGATGTCCCTCAAGACACATTAATTTTAGATGTCTAAATGACCTTAAATGGGCCCTTCCCTGGAAGCATCCTGCAGACAAGTTTAGTCAACATTATACTTTATTGGGAAAAGAAATTTTCTGAAAACTTTAATTTGGTCACTCTTTCTGAAAATAAGATCCAGAATCCCATTACCGGCAGTATCTGGAAGTGTGATTCCCTATGTGCACCATCCATGCAAGGACTAACAATTACATGGGAATGGACTTGCTTAATCTGAAAACTGTTTATTGGAAAATTTTGGTCAGATTAAGCATCCCAAGTCTATGTCTGACATTGTTCCAGGTATAGCTTTTAGTTCCTTGGGAATAAATTTGCTCTCATTAAAATTAAAACTGGGATGTGAATATCATTGGGAAAGATGGGGGGGGGGGTTAAGATCATGCTGATTTGTCAAGGTGACCTAAAATTATTAGATGTATGCTTCTGAAAAGGTAATCTTATTTGGCACAGAGAGCATGTCTGTATTATTTTGTTTCTCATGTCTATTTTTGTAATGGTATTCCATTTTTAGTTGTCTACCCTTTCTCACCAATGCACTGCAGTTATGAACTTAAATACATGTATTTTTCACATGAAGACAAAATATACTTGAATTCCAAATATTTTTTATGCTTCAATAAACATGTATGTGCAAAGATATGAAGCATAACATGCTAAAATGATTTAAAATATATCCCCTATTCATTCTAATTCCTCACTTTCCTCACTCGATCCTTTTAAAAAGTTAGACTTTAGATATGAATATTAATATGCACATCAATTGAATCTAATGACTCTCGCGGAAATCTGAAATACTTAATAGTTATAAACAACCCCAACCATTTAAATGACCATAAACTTAGACAACCTAAATTGGAGCAAGAAGAATGAATATGTCGAGGCAAAATAAAGTAAAAATTCACTAGCATGTTATGTATGACATCTGAGGTGTGTTCAGTAGAGCGAGCACTGTGTCTGATCAGTTGACAGGTAAATCTCACAAAAAATAGTATCCCATGAGCACTTGCTCTACTGCACACACCTTAAGATTGCTCCCTGATCTACCTTAAACTGTAAACAGAATCTCTGTAGCCATTGGCTGGCAGACTTTTAAAAGTAAGAAATCAGCAAAATGTAAAAGGTCATAAAAAGTAGGTGAAATCCTATAGCATTTAGAATTGAAACAACCCTGAAGTTTTTTTTTTACCAACAACACCAAAAAAATTGCCTGCATCCAGGTCAACTTTTAAGTAAATTTTAGAAAAGATGTTCTTTTGTTAGTCTGAAGTTGTTTTTCTTAATTACATCATGCATGCATGTACATGCATACATTTTAGCAACAGTTGAAAAACACAAAAAATGAGTCCAGCGTTATCTTTAGCAATTTTATCAGCTGGCAAAGTAAATAAAGCCTGCCACTTCCAACCAATATCAGGTACTTATATTAGCATTTCATGGACAAAAACATGGGGGGCACAACAAGCAAGTCGCTGAACGCAAGGTCAGATACCTATGGAGAAGTTGTTTACAAAACACCACAACAAACACACGTGCTTTATTGCCCTTCTGATCTCTCTAGAGAAGTGGACAGACTTTTAGAAAGTTCAGGAATGAAGACTATAATGAATGTCAGCCCAGTTTTATAAAGAGAATATATTTGCCTCAATTTAGTATCTGTTTTTTCTACAGTTCTAAACAATAATATTTAAAATGTTCCAATCAATATCATGCTAATACACAAATATTCATAGTGATTTTGGAAGTGTTTTTTTTTGGGGGGGGGTCACACTTTAGGGAGAGCCACTCAGATCATGACAGTGATCTAGTGAGGTTGTTCAAATTTTCCAATTTTCTCTGTGTCTAGTACCTTTGTGCTTTATATCAATGTACCATCAGCTCGATATATTAAAAAAAACACAAAATTCAAAAAGCCAATAGGCCTACACGTTCCGAATTGGATACACTAAAGGATTAACGCGTAGGGTGCTTACAAGAAGCAATACGGTAATGATTGTTACGTAAGATGCAATATTCCGTTCATTCCATTCAACAACTCATGCGGCATTGTTTTAGAAGAAATAATAACAATTTGTAAAAATTACAAAATGTGTTTACATTCAATTTGCCCCATATCAAAGCTACAATATTCATAAGTAATATTAACATTGCAAATTAGGCCTAATACATACCACCTAGATTTCTCCTGAGCAAACTTCTGAGAGCCATGATACAGCGACCCAGTTTATAAAACCGGCCGTAACTACCTTCTCTGAGCTTCAGCTGGTAGAATGACGACCTAGTTTCCTGCGCAATGTGCGTGCGAAATTGTACGGAAACCCATTCTGGACAAATATTGTAGGCCTATTACTGCTTGAGTCAATACATTGATTTAGCCACATGACTGAGGATAACAAATTAAATATTCATTCAACTGTTCAAGAGTTCGAAATCCCCTGAATATTGCACTTCAAGGAAGGCTTTATCATCGTATTGAATAAAATAGCAAGAATTCTTTTATGGTACACGTAATTTAATGATAACAAGAGGCCCAGGGGCCTTAAAGGTCACCTGAGCATATTAAATGTTGAACAGGCGCGTAGCATCGTTTTTGAAAGTTGGGGGGGGGGGGGGGGGGGGGGGGGGGTCAGAGAAATTTTTTTTACTTACCCCTGAGAAAGTTGAAAATCGATCTTCACTATATTATCAAATTCATAAGGTTTCAACACTACCACGGAATTCCTGATCCATTGACCAGGATGTTCCCAGCTTTGAAAGAGGTGCCTTCCTCATCATAGCTATGCACTTGGTTTGACTGTTCAGGGGCCATGAAGTTCGAAATTTTGGAAGAGGTGTCCTTTCTCATCATAACATTTACGTTTGGTTCATTTGTAATTTGTGCGCCAGAGTATATAGATAAGATAAAATTTAAAACAAGCAAATTCAAAGAATTGCCCTCCCCCCTTTGTGGGTGAGATGCCATTATTTATGGCATATTTTGTCAAAAATAAACGCCCTATCATATTCATTCAAAAGTTATCACCATAGACATTTTTTTAAATTAAGTCAAACATGAAAGTCACGAAAGCTCTATCTCTTCTTAAAAGGCCTTGTCAAAGGTATAATATACACTGTACATGTTAAATATGAATGCCTTTCTCTTCTTATTCAAAAGTAATGACCAAGGTTAAAGTTTTTTTAAAAGTTTGGTCAAGCTTCAAAGTCAAGGTCACAAGGTTTATCAAAGTGTATTTAGAAAGGTCTTTTCAAAGGTAATAAAAACAAGTTTAATTTGAAAGCCCTATCTCTTCTCATTCAGAAGTTATGGTCAATTTAAAGTAATGTTTACAGTTTTTTAAAAGAAAGTATGTCAAACTTCAAGGGCAAGGTCACGAGGTAAAAAAAATCATAACTTGTATTTAGAAAGGTCTTGTCACAGGTAATGTACATGTATAATACGAAGGTCTTATTCTCATTCCAAAGATATGATCAAGGTTAAAATTATGTGACAGACGGATAGACAGACAGACCTACAGACTGACGGACGGACAGGCGAATGAGATGAAATGTCCCCTTGCTTTCGCGAAAGCGGGGGGATATAAACGTAAAATCCATTTCCCAAGCGTGAAAATCACCTATTTCGTGATGGTGATGTTGGTCATTTCTGGGGGAAGGGGGTCCAAAGTCATTTTTATTTGCCTCAGTGTATACTATACTTCTGCAAATCCCCCCACGGTTGGGCACCAACCCTCCCCCTCCCCTCTAGATCCGCGCATGACTTTCATATTTGGATGCTTTAAGGACTAAATAGACAATAAGAACCAACTAACAAATATTAACGAAATTGTTTGGTTTAATATGGCTTTTTCATGCATCGTCAACGTTATGGTGTTCCTAAAATTTACAAAACTTAACCTTACGGTGAAAAGGAAATAAAAATAAAACTTAATTTGAATTAATAATTATTAATGAAATGATTTTTTAGAATTAAGTATAAAGAAGGTGGGTGAACAAAGGGTGCAGAATGCCTGTAGTTTCAAAAAGTCAAAGAATCATATTCAATTTATGAATGAAGTATTAAAAGTAAAGTTTTTATGCCCCCGTAAACGAAGTTTCGGGGGTACATAGTTTTTGTCGTGTCCGTCCGTCTGTCTAGCTGTTCGTCTGTTAGTCCGCAAAAACTTTAACCTTGCCCATAACTTTTGATTCAGTGGAGCCACGACTTTCATATTTCACATGTGTAGTCCTTGTGACAAGACCTTTCTTTGGGTACCACCAAATTCGACCTTTTGACCTGGGTATATAGTTTTTGTCGAGTCCGTCCGTCTTTCTGTCTGTCTATCTGTTTACCTGCCTGTTTGTCTGTTTGTCCGCAAAAACTTTAACCTTACCCATAACTTTTGATTTAGTGAAACCATGACTTTCATATTTCACATGTGTATTCCTTGTGACAAGACCTTTCTTTGGGTACCACCAAATTTGACCTTTGACCTTGACCTTGGAATTTGACCCACTTTTTCACAAAAATTCCGAAGTTTTACTTTGGCCATATCTTTTGAACAGTAGATACCAGGACATTTATACTTCACATATGTATTCTTCGTTGAAAGACCTTTCATTGGATACCAACAACCTTGACCCTTTGACCTTGACCTTGTAGATTTTCTTACTTGTGGAAAAACTTTAACCTTGACCATAACCTTTGTAAAGAAAGGAATAGGGCTTTCATACTTCATATATGTAATCCTTTGAGAAGACCCTTCATTAAATACCAAGAACTTTGACCCTTTGACCTTGACCTTTGAGTTTGACCTACTTTAAAAAAGCAAACATTGACCATATCTTATAAAGGGTTAGGGCTAGTGCTTTCATACTTTACACATTTAATCCTTGTGACAAGACCTTTCACTTGATAAAAAAATTTGACCCTTTGACCTTGATCTTGGGGTTTGACCTACTTTTAAAAAATTTTAACCTTGGCCATAACTTTTGAACGGTTAGGGTTAAGGCTTCCATACTCTACAAAAGTATTCTATGTGGCAATACCTTTCATTGAATACCAATTACCTTGACCTTTGATCTTGACCTTGGAGATTTTTGTACTTATTGAAAAAACTTTAACATTGGCCTACTTTCAGATTTCACAATTGTTTTCCAGTGAGAATACCCTACTTCTGGTACCAATTAATTAAAGCAATATGAGCTGCATGTTTGAACATCAGACAAATTTGTTGCAAATTTGTAATTAACTATTTCAATGACAGAAAAATAAAACATTTATAAACTTCTGTTGTTCATATTTGCCATGGAAATTTTTTTTATTAGCTTTAATTGAAGCAAAATTGAATTATTGCCGTCCTGTACAATAATGATTTCTTGTGTAATATTGTATATTCGGTTGTACAGAATATTTCTTCTGAAACATTTTTAAAACTATATTTTGGGCTATCGGTCATAAGTGTTTAAATTATATACAAATTAATCATAATAACACATTTTACCAGCAAAATAAAATTCTCAAAAATGCAGCTCATATTGCTTTAAATTTGCATTTAACAAAAGTTTAATCTTTGCTATGTTGCCATACGGGGGCATCAGTGTTTCACAAACACATCTTGCTATTATTGAAATTTATGAATTTATGATAAAAAAAACTTCTCCTAGAAAAAAATTTTAGGAAGAAATTAGTCTTTTATTAAAAAGAAATAAGTATGGTATTCGTGGGATTCGAACACGAATATTGCTTTCAGTCTAACACGCTTACCACTAAGCTAGACGGCTCCCGATGAATTGTGACATTCAAATTATGTTTGCGATATGAACCTTGACTTAAAGCACTTCAAGTATTTCTCGGACAGATGCGAATGTTTTGTCATAAATTAAAATTGTAGTTTTACGATGTGGGTCTTTCCTTCATGTTTTTTGTAAACCAAAAAGTATATATTTTTATCCAAACCTTTGATGCCATATTTTTTAAAAAAAAAATGATTCATCTTCTCAACTATATGAAAAAAATATTTAAGTAAGAGAAAATTTATTAGGAAAATTTGACGTGCTGAGTATTGAATAAACAATAAAATTAACTCTATAACACTGAGCAAAATACCTTTTCAAAACATCTTTCCTTGTCGTTGTGTGTTTAGTGCGTGTATGATCTTTCATTGGCAAATATTTAATTTCACTCTGTGAGATTTTTGTAAAATGTAGAAAATTTACATAAAGTTTACTTTAATGACGTAGCATCAAAGAAAATTTTTATATAATTGAGATTTCACTTTTTCACACCGTGTTCGTCGCACCATAGGCATGCACTTGTCTTGTTCACTAATCTCCTTGCTATTTTATCGATTACACATTTTTTGACAGCCATGTTGGTCCAATTTTGTCCAATTTCATTGAAAAATAATTATAGTTTATATATATATATATAAAATATATATATATATATATATAATTAAACCAAAAAAAAAAAAATAGACGTGTTTGTGAAACACTGATGCCCCTTTATGGCAACACAGCGAAGATTAAACTTTTTCTTAATTTCAAATTAAATTCTTAGTATATTAGTACCCAAAGTAGGGTCTTCTTAAAAGAAATACAGTTGTGAAATATGAAAACCCTAGCACCCCTGTTCAAAAGTTATGGCCAAGGATACGTTTCCGAAAGGAAGGTCAAACTCAAGGGTCAAGGTCAAAGTTGTTGGTTTCTTAAGAAAGGTCATGTCACAAGCATGATAAATGTGAAGTATGAAAGTCCTAGCCCTAACCGTTCAAAAGTTATGGTCTAGTATTTTAAATGTAGGTCAAACACCAAGGTCAATGTTCTTTATATCTAATGAAAGGTCTTCTCAAAAGGATTAAATATGTGAAGTATGAAAGCCCCAGCCCTTTAAAACTTATAGCCAAGGTTTGCATTTTAAAAGTAGGTCAAACTTCAAGGTCAAGGTCAAAGTTCTTGGTATCCAATGAAATGTCTTCTAACAAGGATAACATATGTAAAGTATAAAAGCCCTAACTTTACTGTTCAAAAGTTATGACCAAGGTTAAGTACGGAAATCTCCAAGCTCAAAGGTGTTGGTATTCAATGAAAGGTCTTTCCACAAAGAATACGTATGTGAAATATGAAAGTCCTAGTATTTACAGTTCGTTCAAAAGTTATGGCCAGAGTAAAAGTTAGGAATTTTTCTGGAAAAGTAAATTAGAAAAATGTCAAGGTCGAAAGGTCAAATTGGGTGGTACACAAAAAAAGGAATACACATGTGAAATGTGAAAGTCATAGCTACACTAAATCAAAAGTTATGGACAATGTTAAAGTTTTGCGGACAAAC